TCGAGTTTGTTACGAAACACCCATTTTGTGCCAATAACGGAATGATCATTAGGTCTAGGCACCAATTCCCAAACATCATTGTGTTTAAATTGGTTAAGCTCCTCTTGCATTGCCATAGACCAATGTTCATCATTAATAGCATCCAAAACGGTTGTTGGTTCAATTTGAGAAACAAAGGCCATGTGATTAATTGTGTTCCTAAGAGAATTACGAGTAGAAACTCCCTGCGTTATTTCACCAATAACGTTGTCAATCAGGTGGTTCTTCAATGTTCTCCACTCCTTAGGAAGCTCCGTTTGTTCCTACGTTTTCTCTTCTTCCGGTTCCTTTTCCTTAACGATTTCTTCTTCATCATCATAAGAACCTGCAACATTATCAACAATACCTTTCTTCGCCAAGCGAGCATCAAATTCATCAAAGACAACATGAATAGACTCCTCTACGGTCTTAGTACGCTTGTTGAACACTCTATATTCCTTACTACGAAGAGAATAACCTAAGAAAATTCCTTCATCCGACTTAGCATCAAATTTTCCCAAGTTATCTTTTCCATTATTATGAATAAAAACTTTACATCCAAAGACATGAAAATAGGAAAGGTTAGGCTTTCTTCCTTTGTAAAGTTCATAGGGCGTTTTCTTGAGTATCGGTCTAATGACGGCTCGGTTTAACACGTAGGACGCGGTACTCACGGCATCCGCCCAAAAATATTTAGGAAGGTTTGCCTCATTGAGCATAGTTCTAGCCATCTCTTCAAGAGATCTATTTTTTCGTTCAACCACTCTATTTTGTTGTGGTGTACGGGGGGCCGAGAAGTTATGCTCAATGCCTAATTCGTCACATAAGGCATCAAAACCATCTTGATCAAATTCTCCCCCATGATCACTTCTTATGGATGAAATGTGACAATCTTTTTCATTTTGAACCAATTTAATGAATTTCTTAAAAGCATTAAGTGCATCATACTTATGAGTAAGAAAGAGTGTCCATGTAAACCTCGAATAGTCATCAACGATAACAAAGCCAAAGTAATTACCTCCTAAACTCATAGTTCTTGAAGGTCCAAAGAGGTCCATGTGCAAAAGTTGTAATGGCCTAGTCGTAGAAATAACGTTCTTTGACTTAAACGAGGCCCTTACTTGCTTTCCTTTTTGACATGCATCACAAATTAGATTCTTCTCAAACTTAAGTTTAGGAACACCAATTACTAAGTCTTTTGAAACCAACTTATTAAGATGATCCATATTAACGTGAGCTATTCGACGATGCCATAGCCATGTTTCTTC